ATCTTTTGTTGTTCCACAGAAATATTTTGTTCTATTTCTGTGAAAAATGTTGTTGGGACTTTGATAGGGTTTGCACTGAATCTGTAGATTGCTTTAGAAAGTATGGACATTTTAACTATGTTAATTCTTCCAATCCATGAGCACAGAATATCTTTCCATTTCTTTGTGTCTTCTTTAAAAAAAGAAAAACTCACATAGTACAGAGCAATACAAAGTAAAAAGCAAAAATTCCCCTACCCTATTCCTTTTGACCTCCTAATTCCTCTCCATAGACAGCTGTTGTTAACAGTCCATCTTTCCAATACATTTACTATGCAGATATAAACTACATTTCTAGCTTTGAAATGTTTTACTTAAATAAAATATCCACATGGTACCACAAGCTATCGTTTTTACCTATCATATCTTGCACATCTTTCTATACCAAAACATAAATATCTAATTTTATTTAAATACTCTTACAGTATTCCACTGTATAGACATACTATAATTTAGTACACCAGTCACCTGATAAAATATTTATCTGGCTCTTTTTATTTTACCATTACACACAATGATACAACAAATATTCTTTTACATATATCCTTGTGTTACTCCTATGATAAATTCTTCCAAGTGGAAGTGCTAGATCCTAAGGAATAAACATTTTTAATTTTTACAGATACTGCCAAATTTCTTTTCAAAAAGTTTACGTCAATTTATACTTCCACAAACGATGTATGACAGATTTTCCTACATCCTTGCCATTACAGAGAAGCAAACTTTAAATCTTTGCCAGTCTAATAGGTCTAAAATAGTATATTGCTAATTTGAATTTCTTCATTAATCGGGAAGATTGAGCATCCTTTCACATCTGAATGTGTTTATGAATTGTTTGTATATTTTACACATTTTTCTTCTGGAGGGTTTATCTTTTTATTAATTTATATGAGAACTTTGGGTTTTTAAGAACATTTGCCTTTTATCAAATATGTAGTAAATATCCATATATTTCCTTACCTCCCAGCATGTTTTTAGCATTTAAGTTGTTTAATGAACTTTGGCATTTTAATTTTTATGTAGTCAAATATATCAATCTTTTCTTTCTTTTGGCTTTTGAGACTTGTGCCACATTTAGAAAGACCTTCCCTGTACCAAGATCACTTTTAAACTTCACTGATATTTTCACCATTTCTCTAGTTTCATTTTTAATAATTGCATATTTGGTCAATTTGTGATTTTATTCTTGTATAAAAGCAAGGCAGAGATTGGGTTTTTTA